CTTGTTAGATACACTTCGTCTTTGTCGCTTTGCCGTGCGTGGCACTGTGCATTTGCTTTTAAATTCTCTGGCTTTTCATGAGTTGGCAGTTATTTGTTAATTTGCATTTTATAGAAAAGGCTAAGGGTCATCTAGCTCAACTTTTTCTGAAGCTTTGATCTCCTTGAAAACATTCATGCCTGGGTCGTCATCTGGGCGCTTCAGCAGCCTTCACGTGGAGCCTCTTGAATACTGTATAGCAGCCGCCATCCTGTCCTGTTTTCTCCAGGCTGTCATTGCCAGGGGCTCGAGCTCTCCTCTGCGGCTGGTGTTAGGGCATTTTACTCTCACAACCTGCCTTCTTCCCCTCTCCTTCTCTTTTACCCCCCTCTCCTGCTTTGTTAGCCCCTGAGCGTGTCCCAGCTTGTCTTCTGTTCTTTAGATAAACTGCAATAGCACGGAAAGCGGGGTACAGGGCTTCATATGTTGTCTGTATCACCCGCAGTCTCAGCCTTGGAGCTCATTCACGTTTTGCATATCTCCATTATTTTTAAACTCATTTTGAACCCAGTGTTCAATAAAACCTATTAAAATGTTTTTCACACGTAGTCACATGGCTGGTGCTGGAGCAGCCAGTGGAAATAACACACTTCCACTGTCATTTGACGGGAACAGCGGAAGGAAAACAATTTCAATCTCACTTTAGTAAAATAAGCACCAGGTCAGATGGTCTCATCAAGTGTTTGGGGAGAGTAAAGTGAAGCTAGTGGCCGAAAGTTCTTGGGTAATTTATTAATTCAGGCATAATAGCTTTCATTTTACATCTTTAAGAATGTGCCTAGGTCTCTTGAATTCTTGACACCTGTTCTTTCTACTTCCAAAAAGGGCTTGAGGGAACTCATTTTTGCTGTAGGAGTCAGAGGAGGCAGGTATAGGACAGGCTCCCAGGAGTTTAGGGCCTAAAGAGCAGATTTCTACAGTTCTTTGAAACTGGATCTAATATTCTATGTACATTTAGAGAGCATGGCTCTTGTTTTGTTTTTGTTTAAGTCAAGAGTGCGGGCAATGTGTAGATTATTGCTCTATAGTTCCACTTTGGGCTATTTTGTGACAAATCTACTTAGACCATTTTTTCTCAACCCTTTTCTTTTTGAAAAGATAATATGACATCAGGCTGCCCCTTCCTCACTCCTTCCAGATCTTTCCTTAGGACACGCTTATGCTCAGTTCCAGGCTTGGCCATGCCTGTTTGTTCTCTCTAGTGCTGTGCTGTTTGTCTGAAATAACTGATGAACTCTCAGACTCAGTGTTCAAAGCCCATCTCTGCTTCCCATGATATTTCCACAGTCCTTTATATACACCTTTATTACACTTACATTTTTATTTATGTTTTTTCTACATTTTTAATTTATGTGTTTTGTTTATGCTTGTCTTCTCTATCAGACTGCAAGCACCTCAAGGGCATAGGTCTATTTTATAATCTTTTTAGGAATATATATAGGAATAGTAGGTGTTGAATGAATGTTCGCCAAAATTGTACATATATATGGTATGCTCACACACATATATAGACACATTATAGGCAAAGATTTACATGGTTATTTTATTTGAAAAATTATGCACAAAATATTAGTAGGCCTAGGTAGGCACTGACTTCAATTCAAAGATAACTTTAGCTTAGTTCCCTTAAAAATGACTGAACTTACATACCATTTTGCAAACATTAACTTTCACCTGACATCCCTATTTATTTTCACTATCTTCTAGTATTAGGCATCAGAGTTTGTTTTTAATGAAAAAATGCTTTATTTAGAGTTGACAACAGCCTGACTTCCGTGGAAATCAGCATTTACCATTAATAAGGATCAGTTATTACTTAGTTCAAAAGCTCTCAGATCACAAATATAGTTTTGCCATATATATAAATGACTAGGTCCATCTTTAGGAAGGATCGAGAGCTGAGGATAGGACTTGATATACTTGTGTTCATTTGAACATAAGAAGCTGAGTCATGCACCCTGACTGCTCAGACCCAGATGAGGCGTTTTGATGACGTGCAGGGAATGTGGGGAATCCTTCTCTGAGCCTCAGACAGTCGTCTTATCTGTTTCTTTTAGTCTCCTTGTAAATTCAGTTTTCAGGAATTGGGGGGAGTGGGATGGTGGTTATGAGTAGTAAACTTAGAAAACGGCCATTGTAAGTCTCTTTTAGGGTCTACAGGTACACGTTTATCCTGACCAGCCCACGTTTTGTATGTCTGTGTGTTAATTAGCTTACCTTCAGCATTAATCTTTATACTCCACACTACCCTGAAGCAGGTATAACATAGACCTTATCTCTTTTCATCTTACAGCATTATCCTCTAACACACGGAAAATGGATGATAATAAAGAAACTGATTCCAAAGAAACTGGAGAATATGAAGATGACTTTGAAAAGGACCTGGAGTGGTTAATTAATGACAAAGAACAAAGTGATGTAAGCATAATAGTGCTATATGTAAAGTGCCAACAGCATTTGTAATAACTACTAACAAAGTGCTTTGCAGTTCTTGAAGAGTTTCACATTATCTCATCTAAATGTCACAAAATTTCTCTTTTTTAAAATTTACGTTTATTGTTGAAAGTATTACAGATGTCCCCCTTCCCCACATTGGCACCCTCCACCCCATGCCCATCCCCCCAGGGCCTACTGCACTCTTGTCTGTGTCCATGGGTTATGCACACATGCATAAAAATCCTTTGGTTAATCTCTTCCCGCCCCACCCCTTCCCTCTGAGATTCTTCACAAAACTTCTTCAATGTGCATAGAACAAGTGACATTATCCCTATCTTATAGATGAGAAAATTGAGGCACCGAGAGTTTCAATGTTGTATCTTAAGGCATAGGGCTAATTAGAGAACACGGATTAAATTAGTACTTAATAAAGCTAAAATTATAATTTTTAAATGGTAATATAAATAAATGTAATTAATTGCATCAAAAGGAAAAAGAGGAATGCAGTTCATTTCTACTTAATATAAACTTGGGTACGATCCCGGGGCTATGCTTTTAATATAAATGAAACATAAAAACAAATCCTTGAAAAGCGTGATCTTTCTGCTAATATCTGAAACCCTAAGTGTGAAGGAGCCCTGAGCAACCACGGGAAGAAAAGAGTGAGGGAACCCTTCGGGGGAATTGATACAGAGAAAAGTGTAAAGGGTGTGTTACTTTTGTTTCCTTTAGAAAATGTAGAGGTAAAAATGGATCTGGAATTTGGATTTGAGTCCTGCAGAAAATGGCAATAATAATCTCAAGAGATTCCAAGAACCTCAAAACAATTAGGGCTTGACCAATGGCAGTAACTTTAATGGTCATGGGGAGAAGATACTTGTCTGAAGAATACAAGTATTATTAAAAAAACATGTTTAAAAATATTATTCTGAAAATGTAAGGAGGAAAATTTTATAGAGGGCGGAATATTAAAATAATATTGTGTTATTTGTAGTTACCTTTTCATGCATTAGCATAAAAAATTTTAAATATCAGTATAACACTCAGTAACATCAAATACAAATTTAGAGTTAAAAATTTCCCAAATGCTGCTGACCCCCGATTTTCACCTAGCTCACCAGTGTGAGTTAGAATATTATGAGCAAAGTGAGCAGGAAGCACGTACAGCTTCCCATTTCTAAAATAAGTTACATGAATCTGAAAATCCATTTCAGGTTTTTTACATATGAATAGACAAAGCATCTCAATTTTTACTGAAAAGAGAACCTCATATCGTTTTTTTTTTTAAAGGTGGCTTGTGGGAATGAAGAGAACATTAGCCAAGAATCAGGAGAGAAAGAAACAGAAGCAGAACCCACAGAGCAGCTTCCCGACCCTGAGGGCGCATCACCCAGGAGAAGCGACTTCATTTCTGTGCCAAGCAGCCAGCCTTTGGATCCCATATCAGATTCCGACAGTGACACCTCCTTCCAGGAATGCAGACTGGAAAGCCAGAAGGACCCGGAGGAAGATGAAGACGAGGAAGTAAGGAGGTACATTATGGAGAAGATTATTCAGGCCAACAAGATTCTGCGGGATCAAGAACCCGTGAGCGAGAAGAGGGAGAGGAAACTGAAGTTCAAGGACAAATTGGTGGATCTAGAAGTTCCTCCACTGGAAGACGCTGACAGCTACAAAAATTATGTTGAAAATGAAAGTAACGTGTCTGGAAAACTGTCACAGTTACGTATTTCTGATGAATCTGGACAGGAAAACGTGCTCCTGTCGCTTGCCAATGGGAGCTGTGAGGAAGGCAAGGATAGGAAGATACTAGTAGAGAGAGACGGGAAGTTTGAGCTTCTGAATCTACAGGACATCGAGAGTCAGGGGTTTTTGCCCCCCATTAGCAATGTGAACAGTACAGAAAATGAACCTCAGCAGTCACCCAGATCTTCCAGCTCATCTGTCAGTGGTGTCAAGAAAGAAGAGCCTGCAGCAAAGAGTAACGGCTCGCCAGCAGAGGAGCCCCTGGCTTTCGTCCCTCAGCCCCCACCCAACCCCAAGACTCGCCCAAGCTCCGCTGCCCACTTAGAGCTGAGTAAGGGGAACGGGAAGGCCAGTCACAGGACACAGTCTGCAAATGCATCTTCAGTGACCTCGACGTACTGTCTTTCCCCGCGACAGAAGGAACTGCAGAAACGGCTAGAACAACGGAGAGAAAAGCTGAGGAGGGAGGTGAGACGAGAGCCCACGTGGGCACTAGGTTGAAAGGAGGATGTTTTCTTGTTTTACAGGTGCCATAGCAATCGAAATGTTGTTCGAAGTATTGGATGTAGCTGCAGGCTTGTTTTGTTTGTTTATCGGTAGATTAAGTGGTTGAGTGTTAAGAATGTGTATCGATGGGATGAATACCACGACTACTTTGGTCCTTTGGTGTAAGGCTCACAAAGCACAGTAATGAATGACCTGTGTTAGAGCTAGAGTCTGTCTCGGTGGGGACTTCATATGACCCTTTCATTTTAAAGGTGAGGCTCAGAGAAGTTAGGTGACTGCTGAAAGTAACCTGGGTGAGCTAGGTGAAAATCAGGCGTCAGATGGAAAAGTGAAGGCAAAATGTGTTGGGGTTTAGGAGGCAACAGGTAAAATTGGATTATAATTCTATGGTGTGTGTGTGTATTTCATGCTTACAATTCCTTGAGTTCAGGGATTTCAGTTTCAGATTAAGAATAGAACCTAGTAACATTAGTGAAATGTCTCTATAATGCCTATGGAATCCCAAATTATTTTTGGGGGGTTTTGTGGGGTTTTTCCCCTTAAAATAAAAGTATTTTATAATTGAAAACTCAAGGTACCAAAACTGCTGAATTTTCTCTAAATGACTTAAATCAGTGCCCCAATTCTTTGTTTTGCTGGATAGCTAATGGTATCAAGCTGAACCATACAAAATAATGCAACTATAAATACCAAACCTTGGCAGAATTACGGGTTACTGGAATTTTACAGTTTGAGAAAAGCTTACAGGTCATGTGACAGGTAAGAAAACAATCATGTAGAAAATTTAAATAACTTTACCAAAGTCATTCAACTCATTTGCAGCAAAGTTGGAGTAAAAAATCCCAGTTTCTTGGCATTCTTTGAGAAACATTGTATCTTCCATTTATGTAGGAAATTATCAGTGGACTCTCTGGCATTTATCAGGAACTCACATGAGCAGAAAAGGTGAATAATGAAGTTAACAAGGACGTGTGAGCTAGAGCACACTCAGGCAGGAATCTGAAAGGATGTGTACTTAACATTTTTACTTGCTCAGCCACTAAAATCTAAACTCTTAACAGTCTGACTCTGTTTAGTTGGTTCAGATATAGAACAATACTTAAAAGGCTCTGTTAACTCAACTTGATGACAGTACAACATAATTTGTTGAGAATACCTGAACCATTTGCTGTATGCACACATCCATGCATATATGTGTGCATATATTTCTATAAAAGTTATATAGGTGGTTTTCTACAGTTTCACTTGAATGAACGGGAACTTGACTGGTGTGACTGGCAGATAGTTTCCTTTTCATTTTGACCCTCTTTTCTAAGTGTCACACACCTGTTTTGGGAGCCACTTTCCTTGTGTCAAAGATCCTCATAACTAAATTTCCCTTTGCTCATGTACTTGCTGAAGGCATGGTCTTTACGTGTTTAAGGCTTTTAAAATAGTTTTTAGCCCTGGCTGGTGTGTTCAGTGGTTAGAGTGTCCGCCTGTGCACTGAAGGGTCTTGGATTTGATTCCCGGTCAAGGGCATGTACCTGAGTTGCAGGTTTGCTCCCCCCACCCCCATCAGGGGAGTGGGGCATGTGCCAGAGGCAGCCAGTAGATGTGTCTCTCATTGAGGTTTCTCTCTCCCCCTCCTTCTTTCCCTCCCTGCCACTGAACAAGCAATGGAAAAAATATCCTCTGGTGAGGATCAACAAAAAATATATCTATTTTTTAGTTGGTTTCATGGGAACGTGTTGGTTTTTTATGCCCAACAAAGTATTTGCTGGGCTTGGCTGCTGTCCTCTGTCTCTGTCCTAAGGGAGTCCTTTCACTGTTCTCTGTGGCAACTGTTATCTGTGTTGTGGCTGATGTCTTCTGTGTGCTACGTCTAATGGTTCCTTATGGAACGATAATCATCTTACCATACTGTCTGTGTTCACACAAGGCACCCAAAGTCCTTTTCCCTTCCCCGTAAAAAGGAACTTATAAATAAATGTAAAATTTAATTTTTAATAAATTCACATTTTATATCATGTAAACTTAAAAAGTAGATAGGCATTTTAAGATATTTTATGCTGTTAAGGGGATAGCATTTTCCCTTTCCTTCCTATATTTTGTTCAATGAAAAGGAATTAGAAGGACTGCTCTGTTGTCAAAATGTAAGGAAAGAACTCTGAATTCCATTATTTGAAGAAAATTTAAGCACGGACTATGATTCAGTTCATTTAAGTGCTAACAGTTTAGTATTGGAAGAGACATGAGAGCTTGTGAATACAACCCCATTTTAGAGATGACGGTGCTGAGTCAAGTGGCAGCGCGACTGTCGCTCGGTTCCAGCTCAGCGCTGTTTCCACAGCGCCACGGGGCGCGGCTCCCGACTGCTTGTCTCTGACACGGCTGGCTCAGGGCACTCCCTTCCAGTTTGTCCCTCCCTTCTAGAGCAGTTGCCGGATAATTCACATTAAAAAATTCATTTTGTTCTTGCAGTTAACTAATTGTCTAAACATTTCTTTCTGCTAGCAGAACTGTAATTTAGGAATATACGCTAGTTGAAAATATTTTTAAACATAATAATAAAAAAAAGCCCAGCACATCTAAAGCTACAGCTAATGCCTGTCGCCATCGCCCAGATTTGGAAGTCGCCGAGATGCTGGCCTGTTTGCTCCGTCTGCTTTCCCAGCCCAGCATTTTGAAGGCAGCTCGTGCGCGTGCTTGTAAATACGTCGCGGGGACGCCGGCATGTTCCTTTGCGACCTCAGTGCCGTTTGTTACAATGAACTAATGTGCCGACGGTGTGGGAACGCCCGGGGCGCCTCCGGAGCCGGTGCGCTCGCGCAG